ACACACACACACACACACACACACACACACACATTCATGGTATATTTTTGTGCACTGGCAGTTTTGTTTTGTGATCACATGTTGAAAAATGAAACTGTTATCAATCAGTCCAGATGTAATCAAAATCTAATGATAGTTTTCCTCATTAATAATTTCATTTTTCTGATGAAGCATCAAACCATGACAACACTCCCACCGTGTTTTGCAGAGGGCTGCAGACACTCACTCCTCCATACTGTCAGCCGACTGAAAACACTTCAGCAACTAACACAGGTAGGAGGTAAAATAAACAGGATAAACAGACAAATGAGAAATGAAGTGAGGATTTAAAAGTTGACACCATTTGCTCGTCCTACAGAAACTTTTGATCCGGAACATTTTTGGTTTTGTGGTTTGTTTCCTATCAGACTCTTTTTGATGGCTTTAGCCCTCCACACACTTCCTCCCAGGATGAATTACTAAAATTTCATGTTTAAAGAACAAAAGACATTTTTGTACCCAAATCCTACCCACAGGTAGGATCGAGTCAGCATGAAATTAGGATATTTTGTATCCAACAGCCCAGCTACGGTGGCCCTGAGAGTTCAGATGCCCTGCAATGAAAGATAATAGAAAACTGCCTTAATTCTGCAAAAACCCACAATAGACGAATCATAAAGAAACAGGTGCAGTAAATGATTAAAGCGACCATGTATCGACAGTATTAAATGAACCATGTGATTAGATTTCTTTTAAGCGTGTCTCAGTACAAAGCTTCACATGATCTGGGTTCTGTCACTTTCCTGTGTGAGAGTTTAGTTTGTTTGATCATATTTTACATTTACTCAAACACAAAAAACCTGCATATGAATCTCCAAAAGTTGATTCTGTTCATCTGGACGAAGCGTTTTGTGGGAGAAACGTTTCGTCACTCATCCAGGTGACTTCTTCAGTCTCAGCTGACTGCAATGAAAATCAGCTTTTGGAGATTTACTTACCTGGATGATTGAGCACGCATCACGACTGCATCCAGGAAGTTCATTTCTCTCTCTGATAAAAAACAGTCCTAATTCCTGATCCTGTGAGATAATGCAGCATGTGGGTGAGGGGACTCGCCCAGCAATAACTAGCTTGAAATCATCCAGGTGAGGCAGCCTGAGTAACCTCGCAGGTCGAGTCCTATCGGGCCCACTTGGCAACGGTAGCTGCCATATTGATTATGGCACTTGCTAGCCGTAGTAGCCAGCAGGCTCCAAGGAAAGATTATTTTGTTATGGCTCGGATATAATAAGAATAATCCTCAGACTTTTGCTGTTTCACTAAAGGTTAAAAAGTGAATGTCCACAACTTGAACCCTGAATCTCTTTTACACCCACTTTTATTCCTCCCTCTCCTACTCCACCTCACATCTTCACATTTTGGTCATCCAATAAAACTGCTGAAGTTAAATCATTTGATATCCATTCACACCTTATCTCTGTCACGCTCTCTGATTTAGAACAAAGTTTAAACTTTTAAACTTTAAAATCTCTTAATTACATTTGCCTTGTTATTCTTAACAAAGGGAATTCTCTACATCACATTTGAACATTCAATCACATGGATATAATTCACTTCATGTTTTGTTCAGTTTGTTTAATTCTGATTCAGTTAGATGTCTTTAGCTCACATGAACATTTATTGTAACATAAACCCTTCTTTTCAAGTACAGAGGAATACTTTTGTTTGTCTCTATTCATTTATTTATTTTAGGTTTAAACTTCATTCATTAAATCATTTGTTAGTCAGACATTCTCTCTGCAGGTCTCACGACAACCTGTAGATTTCTTCCAAAGTGTTCACCACATACATTAATGGAACCCAGTGTGTTTGTTTCTTGTCATGGTTTCGGCTGATTTCTCAGGCAGCATGTGGATCAAAACACAGGACTCAAACT